TCTCTTCTCTCTTCTCTCTTCTCTCTTCTCTCTTCTCTCTTCTCTCTCTCTCTCTTCTCTCTTCTCTCTTCTCTCTTCTCTCGTCTCTCTTCTCTCGTCTCTCCTCTCTCTCTCTCTCTCTGTCTCTCGTCTTTCCGTCTCTCTTCTCTCTTCTCTCTCTTCTCACGCAGGAGGATCCGGGCAAAGAGCCACATATAAAGGACTCTTCACCTGGAATCGTTTGCCCCGCCCAACTTGTGCAAGGCGTCGTGCCTTCTGCTACTCCGTGCAGACCCGCTGCTACCAAAGCCTATTTGGCTTCGAGATGTATTTGTAAATCGTTCACCTGGTATCTAAAGCCACATTACACGGGAACAGGGAAATGGTGCTGCTCCTCGCTGCCCTCCACTTTCCCATTCTGGAGCGCTAGCTTTCGCCCCCCCCTTGGCCTCAAGTAGCCTCCTTGCCAGGAGCCCCTAGTAGCGTCCTTGCTCCTAGTAGTAAGGCCCAGGAGCCCCCAGTAGCGCCCTTGTAGCGCCCTTGCTCCGAGTAGTAAGGCCAGGAGGCCCTAGTAGCGTCCTTGCTCCTAGTAGTAAGGCCAGGAGCCCCTAATAGCGTCCTTGCTCCTAGAAGTAAGGCCAGGAGCCCTAGTAGCGTCCTTGCTCCTAGTATAGTAAGGCCAAAAGCCCCTAGTAGCGTCCTTGCTCCTAGTAGTAAGGCCAGGAGCCCCTAGTAGCGTCCTTGCTCCTAAAGGCCAGGAGCCCCTAGTGGAGCCCCTAGCAGCGTCCTTGCTCCTAGTAGGAAGGCCAGGAGCCTAGTAGCTTCCTTGCTCGCACTAGTAAGGCCAGGAGCCCCTAGTAGCGTCCTTGCTCCTAGTAGTAAGGCGAGGAGCCCCTAGCAGCGTCCTTGCTCCTAGTAGTAAGGCCAGGAGCCCCTAGTAGCGTCCTTGCTCTTAGTAGTAAGGCCAGGAGCCCCTAGTGGCGTCCTTGCTCCTGGTAGGAAGGCCAGGAGCCTTTAGTAGCGTCCTTGCTCCTAGTAGTAAGGCCGGAGCCCCTCGTAGCGTCCTTGCTCCTAGTAGTAAGGCCCAGGAGCCCCTAGTAGCGCCCTTGTAGCGCCCTTGCTCCGAGTAGTTAGGCCAGGAGCCCCTAGTAGCGTCCTTGCTCCTAGTAGTAAGGCCAGGGCTCCTGGCAGGAAGGCCAGGTGCCCCTAGTAGCGTCTTTGCTCCTAGTAGTAAGGCCAGGAGCCCCTAGTAGCGTCCTTGCTCC